TTGCTGGCGTATGCATCCCTAGCAACTTCAGGGTGGCCCTAGAATCCTTAAGGCCATGCAGCCTGGAGTCTGTTTGCTCCGAGAAAAGGCCCGAGCCCTCAAAGGGAAGGTCTTGGAGGGTATTCTGGACCTCTGGAGGGAGGCCCGATGCCTGGAGCCACGCAGAGCGTTGCATGACTACCCCTGAGGCAATGATTCTGGTCGCAAAGTCAGCTGAATCGAGGGAGGCTTGTAGCGAAGTCTTAGCCACCACCTTCCCTTCCTCGATTAAAGCCACAAACTCAGAGTGAGAGTCCTGGGGAAGGCCATCCTTCAACTCTTGGACGGCTGTATCCAAGTTTAAGTTATGTCTATTAAGGATCGCCTACTGGTTGGCTATGCGTAGCTGGAGGCCTCCAGAGAAGTAGACCTTTCTACCGAAGAGATCCAAACGCTTGGCCTCCTTGGCCTTTGGGGCCGAGGCTCATTGGCCCGGTCGTTCCTTTTCGTTGACTGCTGAAACGACTAGAGAACAGGGAGTCGCATGGCAGAACAGGAACTCGTAGCCCTTGGAAGGAGCAAAGTATTTCCGTTCTACCTCCTGGCCGTCTGCATGATGGAGACCGGGGTCTGCCATATAGTTTTGTAATTCGTTTGTATGGTCTTTATGAGAGGGCGCACGACTCTGGAGGGACCCTCGGGCGTCAGGATATCCACCATCAGATCTTCCTGCTCAACCGTTTCTTCCGCCTGGAGGCCCATACTGAGGGATATCCTGCGGAGTAGCTCCTGGTGAGCCTAGTGGTCGATCGGTGGCGGTCCTAGATTGATGTGCCTGTCACTGCCTCGTCTGGGGAAGAGAAGGAAGTGAGGTGTTGCATGCTGCCCTCATCTAGACCCTCCTGTGTGTCCCCATATGCCTGGGTCACTTCAGGGCCATGCGGGACTGACACCTCTTTAGGTGTCGCAGAGCTTGGCACTGCCTCGGGCATTAGGCCTGGAAGCGCCGGTTGCTCTTGTGGGGCCGGGGGCAGCCTAGAGAGAGTGGCCTCCCTTGTCCTTGATGCACGCCTGTGTGGCGACCTGGCATGGAGTCGCATAGATTGCCCAGACCTAGAGGCTCTGGAGGAGATGTCCTGTTGCTGGTGGTAGGCCCATGGGGTCCAGAAAGGCCACTGACCCGAGGAGGCCATTGTGGTTGCCATGCTGGCTGGAAATTCTCTGTTGGCTACTGTTCGATGTCTGCTGTAGCTAGAGCGACCGGAGTCAGCCTCGGAGTTGGAGGATGCCGACAAAGAGGACCAGCAAGTGCCGGGGAGCGGTGCCTGGCTGACTGGGACGGTACTGGGAGTCTTGGGACCGGGACCAGTGTCTCACACTTGGTGCCGGTGAGGTTGTCGGTGCCATACTCCAGTGCCGGGCGACCGATGGCATCATGGACCAGTGTGCAGTCGCTGGGGGTGCTGCTGGCTGGTTCGCGTCCAGTGCCGTAACCTCATGCTGGGTCGTGGTTGCCGGGGAATAGCAGGACGTTGAGCTCGAAAGGGAGCGGTGCCATAAGTGGTGCCGAGACGGTGACCTCGAGCGGCGCACCATTGCTGGCTTCCCTCTGGACGGCACCTTTTTCGATGGTGCTGGAGGCTTCTCCCTGCATTGGAGGGTGTTTGGCGCCTACAACTCAATAAGATCTTTCACTGCCAGTGTCTGGTGTGGAGGGGTGTTCGAGGACCTCCTCCAGACATTCGTCGGCACTGAATCTTCTGGGTACCGGACTCAACAGGGCCTGTGGCACCGGAGTCGACAGTGCCAGTTCTTGGCTCAGGCCCGCAAAGTGTCTTTGCGTGCCGGGAGCTTCTTTGAGCGGCTTAGTAGCTCTTTGGGGAGAGCGCCCTCTTTCTCCTTTCTTGTGACACTTAGTCGGTGCCAGAGAGGTCGACCGGCGCCGAGATTGGTTGGTCCGTCTCGGTGCTGGCAATTTGCAGTGTCTGGGCGGTGCCGGGTCGCGCATGGATGCCGGGGCACTTCGCTCCGAGGAAGCCAGGGCCGGTCCCAGTCGGTCAGGGGCTGGTGGTTGTAACACGGCCTCCATGAGCAACTGCTTAAGGCGAAAGTCTTTCTTTCTTGGTGCGCGGCTCAAAGGCCTTGCAGATTTGCAGCGCTCTGCCTGATGAGACTCTCCCAGACACCGGAGACAGGAGTCGTGGGGGTCGCTGTTAGGCATAGACTTGCGGCACGTGGCACAAGCTTTGAAACCCTGGGCTTGCGGCATGCCCCACAGCCCAAGGCTGTTGCTGGAACTAGCTTCCAGACACCTGACAACAATAGTATTTAACTAACTGATAACTATCTAAGAACAGCTCTAACTAGAAGACTGGAAGGCTAAGGGGTCACCTCTCAAGCGAGAGAAAGAGAATATTCCAACACCACCACGGACGGTAAGAAGGAACTGAAGGGGGGTCAGGCCGGCACGGTATTATATACACCGCCATAAAGGCGCCACTCTAGGGGGCTCCCCTGCCATCCTGACGGGAGTTGCTAAGGGAAAAAGTTTCCAATGTCCGTGCACATGGCGCACGCACACCTAATTGGAATGGACGTGAACAATCACTTGAAGAACTACTGTTAGGTATATGTGAGGGTGGTAATAGATCTCCCTTACATTTTCCCTTCTAAGCAGCTTTCTGAATTACTGAAGAGTGCTTCAACTGCAATTTGGTTAGTTTGAATTTTGCAAGGAGATCAGAGCGAGGAGGCAGAAGGATATACAATTTATCTGTTGCACACAATCCTTGTTGTCTATGGAAAGCTAAGCATTGGGAATAGAATTCTGAGAGTACTTAGTGATTTGGCATACAAAGAATCCAAGCTGTGAATTTTTCCTGATTGTGCTTTGTTGCAAGTGAACTTCTCCATGGTCAGTCGACAGCTGAGGAAGATAGGGATTAAGTTTCATTTATCAGCTCCTATAAAGGATATAGGGGAATGAAGGTGAACTAAGTAAATTTACACAGAATTTAAACTTTTTTTTTAATTAAATGAAAAGATTCTTAAGCCTACATAGTTGCAAAGATAATCTCCAAATCTGAACAGAGTGTAAACAGATAAAGTGTTGCCTTCCTGAATCTGAAGGCAAACAATTCTAGTGCCTGTTCTGCAGTTCAGAAGACTTCCCAAGCAATAAAAAAATGAAGATTCTGAGCAGCAATGAAAACACACAACAGTATCAAATTCACTCTTTCGGTTTGAGATGACTATGAGCAGTAGAGGTAAGCCCTGGAGATATTCACAGAAGAGGAACATTTAAAAAAAAAGAAGATGATGATGATTGGGAAGGAGTAGAGCACCATCGGTCATCCCTCCAGAATCAAAAGTATTCTGGAGGCAGGGATTGATGGGGAAAGAAGGAGTTAGAGAAAATTCTCCACACCCTGGCTGAAAGCCAGATAGAAAGAACTCATGGAATTTGAGGACTCCAAATGATTGCAAAGTTGCCTCTCACTTTCTCAACCTTCTGCAAAAAAGGCAAAATTTAGAGACATGCTCATAATTGGTATAGTTGATATGACAGCAATCAGGATGACAATTTTAACTGTGTCTTGTAACATACTGGTTTGGTACTATACAGAATACTAATCTGTACTAATTTAGACAGAGAATGGTGAGTTGTACAGTACCATTAAAAGATGAGTTATAGGGAAGAATGGATATAGATAACGTAAGTACTCTGAGAATTATTTGCTGTACAGAGCTTGAGAGCTAGTGCTGGGGTTTGAAAACCAGTTTTATCTTTTTTTTTAAAAGAGTAAAAACTAAACTTTTAATCAAATCACCCTTTTTTCCTCTGTTGCTACTACTCAATATTAAGCACAGGATCCAAAACTTTTGAAGAGCTGTATGTTATACCCAGGCTATGTCAGCTATCATTACATTTACTTAGGGAGAATAAACATTTTAAAAATAAGTTGCCTTAAAAAAAAGTAAAAAAAAACACCTCCTGAAAATGAGATTCTTAATTACGTAGGTAGCACCAAAGCTGTGCTAGAGTCTTAACCTTATTCTAAGTATTTAACATATTGTTAGAACAACTATTTCACTTGAGTGTCTGGGTTTGTAGTAGAGAGTTTGTATTCAGAATTCAAGATATTTGTAATCTGATGCCTGAAGGATAGCCTGTCTCTCTCAGGTTTATTATAGCAAGTATATTTTCTAAATATATTCAGCATTCTTTGGGGCAGAAAACATTGCTTTAGCTAAGCTCTAAAAGTGAAATGTACATAATTCTGTAACATTTTATAATAAAATCACTTTAAATGCAGCTTATGACAGTTATAAATTTATAATTTACTCTTTGCTTTCTTCACTGAAGAAACCAAGATTAGATCACTTATGGTGATTAAAAGAATTCTTTTAAACCTTTAGTCTTTCCTCTTAGAGGAGAGGCATATAGGCAAGGCAATGTAGGGAAACTTAAAATGCCACTGCCTGTGTCATATTTGTTCTGTAAGTAAACAAAAATGTCAAAGGAGGCTCAATTGAACACCTCTTAGACTTGTTTCCTGTTAAATATTGTGAATAATGTTCAATCTGCAAGTCATTACTGTGTTGACTGTAACCACTACTCAAAAGACTTCAACAACTGAAAATGCTGTATTTGTCCACATTCATCATTTTGAATAAAATCTGCCAAATAAGTAACACAGTCCATGTAAAAATTAAGGATTTAACAACACAATCTGCAACCATGTAAGTATAAAATTAAATTCAGTCTTCCACACAGAAAATGTTTGATATTTTAAAAGTGAGCTTTCCAACCTGTAAATGAGTCAGGAATTGTTAGAGTTATTTAGAATAGTCTTCAAGTGGGTTTAACACTGTGCAATTTATATTAAAGCAGTATTCAATTATTGCAATTACTGCAGTTACCAGTTTTGTGGATCATGTAAATATTTTAGTTATGAAGGCCACAAAAATACTACACCCAATACATGAAAAAAATTCAAATATTTTATATTAAAACTCACTTGTTGCAAAGGTTCATCAATTATATTGGCACCTGTCAATCTTCTGTCAATCTTAATAGGCCTGGCTTCACATTTCATTTCTTCTGTACACTTAAAAATAGATTAGACAATTTTACTAAACAGATCTTCACTATGAATAAAAATAGTCGCACCTACTGTTCATGATATAAATATTTCTTAATGAAGAAGTCTACACTACAGTATTTCCCTTATAATCATTAGTTATATCGTACATAAAATCATTTGAAAATATTTACACACACACACACACACACACACACACACACACACACACACACACCACCCTCCCA